TAATTTACCAGGCACGTATAGCATCGTTTTTGAAAAAGGGGGAGGGGCAGCCAAAAACAAAAATGACTTATCTGGAAAAAAAAAACTTTGAAAAGCAAAAAAGTCTGCATTTACCTGATTCGTAAACGAAATCAAACATTTTAAAGGTAAAAACTCATTAAAAGTAAAATTTGGAGAAAAAAATTTTTTTAAAGCATACTGAGGAAACTTTATTTTACTGAAATATAGAACAGTAAATAAAATATGTATATTAATAATATAAATCATGGATAACTCTATTATATCCTTGCTATGCGCAGGAAATTTTGACTTTGAAGTATACCAAAATTTATAAGCCCATATGCACAGTCCTAATTTTGACTGAATACATTACATTCAGTATATTATTATAATAAAAAATACAAAAAGGAAATATATCGTCAATCGATGACCTATACTTAAATGTTAGGCTTACCTATTATTGCAAATCCAGCTGAAAAAAAAAAATAATTGTCTTAAAATCTGCTCCGAGGAAATAACACTAAATTCATTATTATATAAAGATTATTGACAATAGATATTTTGTTTTATTTAATGTCGATTTTTCATTTGTCCTTTTATGCTCTAATTGCTTTGAATAAAATCGTTATTTCCAAATATTTCATAACCCTTCATTTAGAGAAATATTAATAGTTCAATTGTTTTCAATAAATTTAAATCTTGTTTTTAGAAAATCAATTTTATCAGTGGCTCTTAACTTTTTCTACACATACCACGCATTAACAATGTACAAAAAAGCGATACTTCCGTACTGTAGACAAATACCAATTAGGCCAAATATTCTTGCATTAACGTACAAATATCACATATAATTGTATGTTCCTGAGGTATGATTTACAGCATCACGATTATATAAAAAAAAGATGTCGCTTTTTTTTCTAGACATACGATAATCTTTTGAAAGACTGAGCTTTACATCTATTTTTTCATCAGCGAATAAAGCGATTCTTATCTTGAAAACGGTCGATGATATTGATTTTTGACATTTAATTAAATAAAAATCCAATTGATAATAGCCTCTTTTACCCCTCCTCATATATCCTCATGTAAATACCAACCTGCAAAAATATCTCAAAATTCCCGACAAAATTCGCATATTGATTGTTAAATGTAAACCGAACGGATCTTTTTTTGATGCAGAGCTGAAATCAATATGGACTAAAAATACAAGGATCTGTGACAACTTTATGAGAGCGTTACATGTATGTGCAGCTGTCACGCGGATTCTGCACTGAACTCGACGATTCCTTTGATCAATGAAATGTCATCTCCCAAATATTGCGTGATATAAGAATAAAGGATTTAATAATAATAATATAAAAAAAAATGATTGCCAGTTCTTTTAGTACTTTTTCTCTATATGTAAATAAATAAATAAATAAATAAAATGAAAATTAAATAAAATTAAAAAAAAATCAATAAAGATAATTAAAATAAATAAATAAATAAATGAAAATAAAGCGAAACTTCATGACCATTTTACGCTGTTAAATGAATTAAACATGAATAACATTATCCGTTAATAAGGACAAAACCAAAGTACTACTTAGTTTCAACTTCCTTTTTCAATTTTCCAGCATCAACTTGGGCCCTCTTGTTACTGTGTATTATTAATTTGAACACCCACCCCCACACCCATTTAGAATAGATACTGCTTTTCCTGTTTTTTTTTTTTTTTTTTTTTTGTTTTTGTTTTTTGTTTTGTATTTTCAGACGAAGATTAGTAGCAGACATCAATCTCAACATGACATGTCTAAACCTAATCAGTACTTTAACATGTAGGACTTTTGAGATGAAACTATGGTCTTCGGGAACAGCGAAGGGGATTGAGCCAGAAGTAACTTTTCTGGCTCGCAAAAATTTGGACTTTCAAGAGATTGAATGTGAATGTGACGTGTCTATTCTCTGTCCCAACTTGCGGGCCTCAAGATGTGGAAGTGAATTCATTCCAAGAGCAAATCATACACCATTTCCGCAGTAGCCAATAACTTTCTAACCATACACAATAATGTGGATTTATAGAATCTGGTACGGCTGTCCGTTTCTTTTCCAGCTGAGATGTGCGTAAATGAGCGGCACTAAGTAAATATCCTTATATGCAGTGATGTAACTCATGAAAGTTTAAAAGTAAACTTTGGATTCAGATATATATAAGTGCTTGACCTCTGCACCTCCCAGGGTCAAGGCTTTTACCGCTTGTGAGATGGTGTTTGTGAACTTTGACCTTTGAACTATGAACTTTGAACCTGAGTTTAAATATTTCATGATGCAATCTTTGCTTTGTGGATATACAGCCTTGCCCAATTTTTGCCTCAATAAAATTTATATAAATATATGCTTGTTATTTTTATATGCACTTATCTGAGATAACAAGTCTATATACATGTGTATAGGCTATACATGTGTATAAGTTATGCCTATACACCGGAGTGTCACGTGTGCATGATAGAAAAATCCTTATTTCTATGAAATGGTCATAAAATGATTACAAAACTAACTTTCAACATTGAGATTAATTTAAGACAAATTCCATGGAAAGAATTATTATCATGTTTGCCAAAGATTCAAGTAAAATCAGTGATAACTTACCGTGCGTGTGGTGCCTTCTGACTGTTTTGATCAGAAATTGTCCGTTGCTGCGATCTGAAAGTATCTGTCATAACGAAAAGGGTCCGTTATGCATATACACCGTGAATTACATTATCCGTTAATAAGGACAAAACCAATTAATGAAAGTATTACACTTCCGACTGGCCCCAGGGTCAGGGGTTTTGGAGTAAGGGCGGGCTCAACTGATTATATCCGGTATTATAGTGAAAATGCATTAATTCTTTGAAAATCTTCTATTTTATGTTCCTGGGTATTTAGCAGATAAACAAAGAGCATGTTTATGATTAGGTACCTTTTCCAAAATTGTGAAACATGGCTCTTGGGACAGGGGTTTTGGTGTAAGGACGGGGCTCTATTGATTATAAAGAGAAAATGGATAAATTTTTTAAATATCACTTTCCCTCCCCCTGTGTATCTAGCAAACAAACTAAGTGCATAGTTATGATGAGCAAGGGTGCCTCTCCCAAAATTGTGAAATTCGTGGCCCCTTTACCAGGGATTCTGGTGTTAGGATGGGGCTCCATTGATTTTATAGTGAAAATGCATTTATTCTTTGAAAATATTCTTCTCTGCTCCTGGGCGCTAGGAGTCAAACAAAGTACAAAGTTGTAATGAGCAAGGGTGTGTTTGCCAGGTTTGTGAAAATTTGGACCACTGGGTCAAGTGATTTAGTGCTGGGCAGGGCTTTGTTGATTTTTAAGAATATTTGTACTCTACTGAGAAAAGTTGTTTTCCTGTGCTGTTCACCTATGATAATTATAATCACTGTAAATAATGTAACTGATAGAAATAAAACAAAAATACCTTATCTTTTTACATTAAATGTTCTTCAAAAACCAAGAGAGGCCAATGTGACAGGGAATGAGAGGGATTTCCTATATGAGCTCAAACACTTGTTTAATCTGCATGGTGATAGTGACAAATGGGAAGCACACTGGCGGTTTTATTGATTTGCTTAATGACTATTTTGTTGATCCTATTTCTCTTGCTTTTGGGCAACATGCCTTTATCCACATGTATCAGTTTATTTTTATTTTATACTTCTATGGTTCCTTTACAGTGTTATACTCAGGTGACCGTTAAGGCCTTTGGGCCTCTTGTTTCACATAAAAGAAGTAATTGATAATTGTAAATGATAATAGGTTGATTAAGAACATTCATACTTTATCATGTACAATTAAACGTTCTTGGGAGGATAAAGTTAATAACATTATAAAGAAAAGCGGTTTGTTGATTCAAATTACACGTCGACGTATAGGCTTGCACATATTTAGAAATTATTATGTGAATTAGATGAAAAGGAGTATTATGAAAAGTTGTATAATAATAATAATAATAAACTAAATGGCAACAAATAAAGAACACATCGTTTAAAAATAACAGGTTATGCACTGGCAATTATCTTTTTGGTTTGCAATACAGAGATCAGAGAAGCATCTTGTCAATGAATATTTTCGTAAAGGTTCATTGTCAGAGATAGAAAAAAAGGTAGATACATCAAGCCGGTAACACTTTTACATTGTAGAACTTGCAAATATTGTATAGACACGATAGACAATGATGTGGACGAAAAACTAATTCATTATACATTGTACACTGAGCTATGATTTATATACACAAGCCAACATTTTAGAAGCAAAAACGGATAGTTTTAGTGAAAATGACGATGCTGTTGATATACAGGCTGTGGTAGCCAAAACATCATTTTCAAATTACGAAAGAAGGACACATGCAGATATTTTAAAATAAGTTCTGTAGTTGATTTATAACGTAAAAATATTTTAGAATTGTAGAAAAAAAAATATAATTTATACATTTGTGTTTTAGGGTCTTTGAGGCAGGATGCAGGTATTTTATATGGAACTGTAATTGTATTTGATACTTATATAAACAATTATACTTACCTACTTACTTATAACGAATAATCAATTTGGTATTACAAACTAGTAGTTTATTTTGTCGAAAAAGTGATTTGTTATTACTAATATGGGTTTTATGCTGTGTTTTTCAAGTTAATATTATCCTTTTTAACAGAGAGAGAGAGAGAGAGAGAGAGAGAGAGAGAGAGAGTGAGGGTGTGTGTGTCTGTGTGTCCGGAACCCCATTTCTCCGGAACGTTTAATTTTTCAAATATTATTAATATATTTATATTTCCCATCTATTTACTTAGAAAATCAAATATCAAATTAATGCCTGTTATTTTTTTTTTCAAGATGATATTTTGTAATTACAAATTAATAACTTGTAATATCAAATTGATAAATGATAATTTCAAATTGATAATTTAATTTGTAATAACAAATTAAGAAAAGGCACTGATGCAGTCCTTAGAACTTCACGTAAGAAACAAGTAAAGAATCTATTTGTATTTTATTTTCCCTTTTCGGTAACTGTTATGAAATATGTCTTGGACCGCCGGAAACAGTCTCGTATTGGAACAACCATTAACACGAGTCCACTGAGCATAGTAGCCGCCCCTGCTAGATAATAGGCCATGTCATAGGAGCCTGTCCTCTGTACCAGGTACCCTTTGTGAATCAGAAAGATGAACTACTTATTAGTTGTTCTATATTATGTGACAGAATTGATTAAACTGTTCTTCATATGATAAATATAACAAATGGTATTTTTATGAATATAATATAATGGTATTTACTTTAACAGAGAAAGTAAGTTACACAAATTGACCATTCAGTACAGTTCCGAGTTCTGTGCCAAGTGTCAGCAACAGACAGTGCTTAGTAAATGAGTCTTGCTCTTTCTCTGGAATCGCACATATTCTTTTTTCATACTCGTGATAACATACTTTAAAAATCTAATAGCTTTTATTTGCTGAATATTATTCCATTTTATTGCAATGACAATATTTAGCAGCAACGTATTTGAAGCTACATGTAAAGTGTATTTTTTGTTTAAGAGTCTATGCATTGAGTTCAAATTTGAGTTAATTCGAACCTTTAAGAATTAAGACCATATTTTTAATATATCTAACAGACTGAAATGAGGTACATGGAAATTTGAAAAAAAAATGATTTAGTTTTTCTTTTGTTACTCACTTATCAAGCACCATCCATGAAAATGAAATGCGTACATCGATTTAGAGAAATTTTGGAGTGGCGAACTTACACAGCTCAATTATCTAAAATTGCAACAGAATATTTTTATTTTCTGAATTTAGCCAAAAATCATACTCTCAGAATCTTCCAAATTTTCTATGGAAGCAAACACTGCACCTACAGGAGGTGGTTGTAGACTTTAACTTAGATTAATCTCTAAAACATGACTCAATGCGTTTCATGCTTGATGTATGGATTGAAAGTCCGGAAAATTAAACAAGCTGAAATAATTATTGAAAAGGTAATAGTAGCACATGTACCTCCAAAAGGTGGTCCAATGAACGTCCCTATTCCACAGGCTAACAACAGATATCCCATACCCTCCCCGATCAGTTCACTTCCGAGAAAGTCTGACACGAGAATAACCAATAATCCGAGAGATGTTCCGAAACTCAGTCCAAACAAAGAGTTGATGATGGCGAGTGCCCCCATCGTGTGGAATACCGGGACAGTAAAAGCGAGGAGACAGGAACCCGTCACAAAATTTGTTGCTAGGAACAAAATACATCTGTTAATTTTGCGGTGGTTGCCCAAGATTCCACCCAAAACGCAACCAACGGTCATTATGCCTTGCTCAACGGATAAGAGAGATGCTGCTTGGGTTACATCAAGACCAACTTTTGTATAATAATCTGGTCCCAGAAGTAAGTGTACAGAACCACCAAAATTCCACAAAAGGTTGTTTATCGTGTAAAGAATATATGGTAAGTTCGTCAGTAGTCTCATCGCTCTTGACTTTTCTTCTAGCGATTTCTTCCGTTGTTCTTTTGTATTTTTCTTGGTAACATCTATACCCGAAGAATTGTGCTTAGATGTTGCCCCATTTTGACAATTTATACTTCCATTAATTTCAGCGATTGTATAAATTGTCTTTGTGCTATCAGTGAGATCACTGCCATTGTTGATATTTTTAGTTTTTAATTTTTTCCATGATCGTTGAATTGGCGATTCTCTCATTAGACCAGAGAGTAGTATTGTTTGTAAATTCAGCGCTGCAAGAATATAAAACGAACCTCTCCATCCGAACACCTCAATTAGAAGTTCAATCAAGTGTGGAAACACTACGCCACCAAGCGAGGAACCGGAAGTGACGATTCCTGTAACCAGTCCTCTGTTTTTGTCAAACCAGAGACCGGACAGAGTGTGGGAAGGAACATACAGGAAACAGAAACCAATGCCTAAAATAAATAGACAAACAAACAAGCAAAAACAAATAAATGAGTAAATAGATAAACATAAAGATATTGAGGAACCGTTGGATTCCAATTGTTACGGTATTTATGCTAGAAAGTACTTAAAAATATACATGCACATAGAAAATTAAAAAAAAATGATTTTACATGACAGAAAAGATATTAACTTAATTTAAATTCCCGAAGAATTCAGTCAAATTACATCTTTGGAGTTAGAATGGCAGTAGACAAAGACAAAACATTTAAAAAAATATTATGATTAGAATTGTTTGCTACGGGCATATGGCGTGTTATAAAGCAAAATATCCATCATAATTGTCTTTCAGAATGAATTATTTGAGGCTAAATATTTATCACATGCGATGATCCAGGAATTTTATCCAGGGAGGTCCACCCTACTCAAGGAAAAAAATCACCCCTAAAAAAGCCCTTCAACACCGAAAATCATATTTCATGTGTGTGTGCGGGGAGGGGGTGGGGGTGTTCATATACTGTTAGTCAATTTTTATTCTTTTATTCAAGTAAACTTTCTTTTGGTTTTATATGTAAGGGAGACCATCTTCTCTCGAAAATTTTATTCTCTGGCATATTTTTTTTATGATTATTAAAGATTATATACAACAATACACAAAATTCGTGCAAATACTGTCTCGCTTATAAATATCAAATGACTACCTCGCAAAAAATAAGCTAATAATTGCTAAAAATGGGTGATCTACACTTATCTACATGACTCTCCTTACCAACTTTCGAGGAGTTCGTGTTTCCGGGGTGGGGTGGGGGGTTCCTAAAGTCATTTTTAATTATAACTCTGAAAATTCCCGGGGAGGGGAGATCCGGACCCCCTTTTTGTGCATGTTATCAGTTTCAAGGTTTTATGTTGATTGATTATTAATTGTACTGAGTCAGCTATGATTATTATCATTTCAGTATTTATTTTTACTTCACTAAAATAAATTAATTGTAAGTTAGATGATCACAATGTATTATACTTCAGTGAGGAAGGACCGTTCACGGTAGCTCAGTCGGTGGGCACTCGCTCCGTGATCGGGAGGTCGTGAGTTCGAATCTCGGCCGCGACTGACCTAAGTCGATAAAAAATGGGTATCAACTGTTCCTTCGTCATGCACTCGGCACTTTGAAGTGAAAGTTGCGGGTCCTTCGGATGAGACCTTAAAAACCGAGGCCCCGTGTCACGGCAGGCGTTGGCACGATAAAGATCTCTCACTGCTCAATGGCCCTGGGTGCCGAGTAAAGGTCAAAATTTGAAGCCCTGCACCGGTATATGGTGACGTCTCTATATGAGTGAAAAATTCTTGAATGGGACGTTAAGCAACATACAATCAATCAATCAATTAGTGAGGAAGGAAATGGAGTAAAAATAATTTAATTTACTAGAGAAAAAAAATATTTAATTTTGAGAAGCAGTGGCCAGTGTTTTATTTTTACTGGAGTAAAATATTTTTGTGGAGTAAAAATAAATAATAGTAAGTAGCATCGCCAACCATAGTCGGCAGTATTTTGATGATAAGCAGTTGAGAAGTTCAAAACCATTTACTACCCTCTTTCCAGTTATTATGTGTAAGTTCTAATTTAACTGTGTAAATATGATCTCCATATCCTAGCATTTTCACCTACTCTTCTACATGGCTATCACTTATTATCCCCTCGCAACAGAGTTGGATGGGGATGTGTGTGTGTGTTTATTTGTTTGTGTGTGTGTGTGTTTGTCCTTGTGCGAAACGGAAGTGACGTAATTTACATCGGGATCGATGTCGAATGCTGCCTTGATTTATAGATATGCTCTTTTGCAAGGGGATGCTCCGCTTTGTCCTTGTTTTCATTTACGTGCTTTGTTTAAGTCTCCTTAAAATAGATGTTATTTGGACAACTTTATTTATATACAGGAAACATGTATATACAAGTCAAATTTTTTTTTGGTTAATGTATACAGCAATATTAGATAAAAAAAAATATATGACGGGTATGTACTAAAGAGATAATAAAAAGAGATAATAAAAAAATACCAGTTATAACTCCAAAGAACGCGATCAGGTATGGTATATTTGGAGTAAATGGTAAAACAGATAGACCAACACTGCTCATTATGGCACCCAGCAAACAAACCTTTCTATAGGACATCTTTCGCATTAGAAAACTGGCAAAAGGACCTGAAATAGGTAATATTTATATGTATGAATAGGTAATATAAATATGAATACTATTAACAAATTATTTAGTGTAGTGATAAAGGCTTTGTTAAAAAAGCAAAATGACGTAAATAAACTGAGATGATTACATTTTGCGTCGAAATCAACACATAATGTAACAAGCATTCTGAGAGTATTGCACTAGCAATACTAGTCCCCTACCGGCAAGTGTAATCTGGTTCCCGTTAAAAATTGAAAATGCCATAATTCCTTCAAAAATCAATGAAGCGGAACGAAATGCAAACTTGATCTGTATGTCATCAAGATAAACTCACATACCAAAAATCAGCTCAATATCTGCAAGCGTTTAGGGAAAAAGTGCGGAAAACCAAGTGGGACAGACTGACAGACAGACAGACGGACTGACAGACTCAGAGGAAACCTATAGTCCCCTCCGGTTTCACCGGTAGGGGACTAATAACGCAAACTATAATAACATACGTTATAACATTTGTGTTATTACATTTTGTGTGAAGGTCAGAATGTAATAACGCAAAATGTAGTAACACTTTTGGATTTTTTAAATTATGCGTTATCACATGTTGCGTCGAGGTTAACGCAAGATATGATAACACTCTATGAATTTAATATTAAAATCTAGATAACATTGAATACTATTTTAATTCACATTTCTTAAAGTATTAAAAATCTTACATCACTATATGATATAAAAAATAGAAATACATGTATATTCAAATTTCGTATTCCTAACACATTCTGTGTCGAAATTTGCACAAATTTTGATTACGCCAATTGAAAGAATTTCTTGTGTTACTAGAGATAAAAAACTTATCCCTCCAAATTCAGGGAGAGGCATCCCGAGGCGCAACAATTTAAAAATTGTCAATAAAAATAACAGACACGCATTAATATATATAAGTTGTAGATAAGAAATTGAATCCTATTCGATTTATATAAAAATATTCTGTGGTATAAGAACAATGATTTAAAACAAGAAAACGTCAAAAAGTTCAAAAATATGTTTATCATTTTGTTATGGCAACTAACAAGGATTATGGCATTTGGTTTTAATCAATTTTGCCTCGGGATCAATGTTAAACGTATACCGACAGAAAATTTAGAAATATTTTGGATAAGTTAGTCAAATTTGTATAAAACATTAATTGATTGCAATATACTGTATTCCCACTTTCAATGATAAATGCAATTATTTGTGGACATAATAAGCGACAATAACTTTAACATTCTGCTTTCGACAATAATAATAATATCACAAGATATAATAATCCCTAAAAGTATGTTTTTACATTTTGCGTTGACCTTGCCGCATAATGTAATGATCTAAAAATGTGCTATTACATTTTGCCTTATATCATTCTGCGTTGACCTCGACGCAAATTGTAATAACACAAAATGTAATAATCTAAAAATTCTATTAATACTTTCCGCGTTATTACTTTCCGTGTTGATCTCGACGCAAAATGTAATAATATCTGTTTATTACATTTTGCGTCTTTATTACATTTGGAGTTGTAACAAGGCTTATGTTATACAAAATATAAATATATGCAATGCCACATATAACGAAGTTTAGTTACATTCACATTAATTTTTTTAATCTACACTCCATTATTATACAATTATTAACGTTTTGGGTGGTTAATATGGTAAGATATTTTTCTTGTCAATGTCAGTCTATATCAACCACATAAAAAATAGGCTGCATGTTGACGAATGTTTCATCAACGAATTGAAAGCAACTTCTTTTGAAAATATCCATTACGCATTATACAGAATATTACTTCTGACCTGTAAGACTTTTCGATTGTTATAAATAATCTATGTTTATATATATATATATATATATATATATATATATATATATATATATATATATATATATATATATATATATATATATATATATATATATAAAATAATAATAATTATAACTATAAATAGACTATAAAATGATACGTAATACGTTATACTATAAATAATATGAATATAAAATATTGTATTTTACAGATTGCAAAACATACAGACCTGAACTCAACTGAAATCCAATATTTATTGAACCGATAGAAGAAATTATTGATAAGCCCGAATCAAACTCATTTTGTAATTCTATAACATAGATACCAAAAGAAAGACAAATTCCAAACGTAATGAATTGAATGAGAAACGCTGCAACAGCTATAACTATTCCCCATGGATTCTCCATGTATACAACTTGTACCTAAAACTGAGAAAATAATGAGTTTAAATAGTCTCAATCCCTATTCAAAACTAAAGTGATTAATCATATGATTGTCGTTGACCAAAAGTCTTTTTTAATATGTCCTAAATTACATAACCCAGACAAAAGTGATGAAATACAAGTTTCCTGTTGAATTTACATAATTATTGAACCTTTCTAGGGTCATTCTAGTAGCAATCTTATAAAACTAAACGTCCCCAGAATGTAAATTTCAATTCATGTTCATGATACTGCATATAAGTACTTCAGAAATCGAGAAGCATGAGAAGATATAATCTGTTTCTTTTGCAGTAACTTGTGTGACAATGTCAAGCAGTTCTATCATTAATTAAATTGCCTCCTTTCCATCCCTACTAACCCACTTCCCGAAAAAAATAAAAAACAAATCAAAACAAAACCAGACAAACAGATAAAAATACAAACAATTGCAAACAAAGAACAATATAAACAATAGGAAATATCAAATAAATAAAAAAAAATGTAAAACAACATTAAGGAAAAAAAAAATAAAAAAAAAATAGCAACAGCCAAGAACTTCGTAGCTCCGTCACACTCCGTACATCATAGACTTGGGATACATTCAGACATGAGATGAATTTAAAAAAAAAAAAAGAATAAAAATCTCTAAAAGATTAAAATTCAACTGCACAATTTCAAATTACAGTATTTAAAAAAACAAACAAAAAAACTTTCACTTCAAATTGCCGATCGCTTGACAGGAAGAGTTGCTACAAAGGTCAGTCGCGGCCGTGATTCGAACACATGACCTTCCGATCACGGAGCGAGCGCTCTACCGACTGAGCTATCCCGCCGAAATTCACAGTTTTCGAAGAGGCACCATTCCTTATCATAACTATATACTTAATTCATCGGCTTAATACTCAGGCGCAGAGGAGAAGATTTTCAAAGAATTAATGCATTTTTCAATATAGAATCATTAGAGCCCTGCCCTAACACAAGAACCCCCTGACCCAGGGGTCATGAAATTCACAATTTTGGAAGAGACACCCTTCCTCATCATAACTATGTATTTAGTTTGTTTCCTTAATACCCAGGAGCAGAGGAGAAGATTTTCAAAGAATTAATGCATTTTCACGATATAATAATTGGAGCCCCGCCCTAACACCAGAACCCCTGACACAGGGTCAATGAAATTCACAATTTTTGAAGAATCACCCTTTCTTATCATAACTATGCATTTAGTTTCTTTCCTTAATATCCAGGGGCAGGGGAGAAGATTTTTTAAAAGTAACAATGCATTTTCACTAAATATTCAACAGAGCCCCGCCCTAGCACCAGAACTGCTTGATGTCAAGGAGAAAAGAAGAAGATTTTTAAAGATTGAAATAATTTTAATGATCTGCAAGATTAAAAAAATTAAAACAACTTTATAAATTATGCATATGTATATTTAAAAACTTTGTGTGTTGATAAAGCTTGAGCAACAGATGTTGTGCACCTTACTAAAGGATGTTAATTCATGCATGGTCAGTTGCGATCTCCTTCTCTCTCTACTTTTTCATAATCGATTGATAAAGTAATTTAGTGGTTGTGTCTTTGCAACAAATGAAAACATTTATTTCTATTTTGCACATTTTGAAAATTTCTTTAGGTAACAGGTGATATGGCGTATTTCTTGGAGTTCTGAAAACAATCTCTGATTGGAATGATTAACAATATTACTCCGCTGAACAAGGTAGCAGTTCCACCGAGGTAGAAGGCGGCATCATAGGATCCTGTCTTTTCTATCAAGTATCCTAAAGAAATTTAACAAATCCATTTAGAATTATAATAAATAATTCATTGAAAGTAAAAATTTGTGTACAAAAACAGGTGAAACGTTATTACTTTAATTTCTTGGACCTACTTACACAGAACATCTTACATTTTGAAAAGAAAAATTTTGGTTGATCCATATTTATAAGTAGATTTGCATTGAAATACGTCAAACTGCAAATCCAAAACAAAGTTTATTTACGCTTTATTTCATTAAAATTTCAGTGGCTATAAGCCAGTAGTACCTCGTCTTCGCTAGCCAAGGGGTTCTGTTTCGTTACTCTTCTCACAACTGGCCTATCTTGCAACAAAAGTCGGGATTTCCTACGTCACATGATCTCGAATCTTACTTCATACGCACAGCTTGCGTCATTGACAGAAATAAAGAGCATTTTTCAAAGTTAAAGTATTTAAAGAAATATTAATAATCAGGTATTAAGAAATTAATTTATTTGTCATTTAGGGTGCAAATCTATATCTGCAATAGATATCAACTTAAAGTTGGATGGTACCATAGCTATTTATAAAATGGCATGTTGTATCATGGCCGTAGGAACCGGGGGTGGGGGTGGCACGGGGCGTGCCCCCCAATAATTTTGCCGATATATAGATTACTGTAGAAAACATAGATTGTATATGCTTGTGCCCCCTCGATAAAAACATCTAATTAACTTTTTTTTTGCTTGTCAAGAATTTTTTGGTACCTTGAAAGTGCCCCCTCAACTGAAAATGTATGGCTGTGCCCCCCCAACTGAAATTGCTTTCTACGGGCCTGTGTATTATATATTTTTGTTCACCTGTGTTTTTCATTCCAAAGACTAAAGTCAAGATATATCCCGAACAGAGATATCGTCATTTACAATAGCATTCACTGACTGACTGAACGATGTTGATAAACTCCAATCACAACTCAAGGAAAAAAAATCCCTTCTTTCGATAGTGCGATAGGCCAAAGGTTTATAAGAAGAGTAGCGAATCAGGAACCCTTGGCTAGCGAAGATGCAAGTGCTTAATTAAGTCTTCCAGAGTCGATAGTCTTTTGGATAAGATCTAAAAATAGTAGCCCAGTGTGTTGGTAAAATACTGACAGTATTAATTAACAATTCAATACTCTTCATATCCGGATCTTGTATACTAAGTAGCTGATGACGTTTCTGTATGAACAAAACATTCTCCTTGTGACTAACTCCATAAAACAAATCAATGTTTTGACCATTTTGTTTTCTCCATTAAAATTAAAAATACACATCCGGAAAATTGGAGTATTCAACTAGTGCTTCATATTCTGAGATTTGAAGTCATATATAGTCTAAAATTTTGCTCCTTTCTGACAATGTGATATAAAATATGAATATCATTGACTATATCTGGCGACACCAGGCTCCGGGGCCGTAAAACTTAGACGAGCTCACTTTTAATCTCAGTCTCACTTTTATAAAAAGGAATATATATAGTGGAAAGTGAGACTGAGATCAAAAAGTGAGCTCATCTAAGTTTTATGGCCCCGGAGCCTGGAACCAAGGTTTGCTAAATCATTTTTTACAAATACAGTAAACAATTTTTTCCCTTTACTTATGAATATTGACAGTTGCTAAGTATTGAAATTTTTCAACACAAGCTAATTCAGGGAATTTATGTCCCCTCAATCAAAAAAAAAAAAGAGAAGAGGGCGGAAGACCTGAAATGCAGATGGAGATAGAAAAAGCGTCCACTGGACCTTTCAGCTTTTGGCTTTAAAGTCAATAAGGGTCTTTTTAAGTTAAAGAAATTCATGACCTCAAGTTTCAATGCAAAAGCGTATAAAGAACTAAAGTTCTCATCTGAAAACTATGCAATATATGAATTCCCTTTTTACCTCAAAATCAAATTAGTTTTTTTTTCTTGGGGGTGAGGGTGGGGGGTGGGTGGGTGGGTCATATTGACTAAAAATATGAAATTTCATTGCAAAACCTCAAAGAGAGCTGAGTTATCACAAAAATACCATTTTATGAAAGTTAGGAATTTTTGTCCTTAATTTTTTGACCTCAAAATCAATAGAGGTCTTCTTTAAGTCATTGGGAGTTTTGATGTAAGATTTCATTGCAAAAGCTTAAAGAAATCATCGGGAAACCATTTTCTGCAATGTAATTAATTTCTGACCTTGATCTTTGACCTTATGACTTAAAATCAATAGGGGTCTTCTTTGGGCCACAGGGATTTTTTTTTTTTTTATATAAATTTCATTACAAAAGGTCAAAGGTTTTTTGAGATATCATCCGAAAACGAAAGTGCGTGTTACACACAGACAGAATGATTGAATTTCTGACCTTCACCTTAAATCAAAGTGGGGAACAAAAATGCAGCTAAATATCCGTATCACTTCTTTGTACTTTGATTTATTACTTCATAGATTAAGTATGGATGAATAATTATAAAAAGCTCTAACCTCCTAATGGTGGCCCAATGAAATTTCCTATTCCAGATGCTAACATCATATATCCCATTCCGTCCCCAATAAGTTGACTTCCGACAAAATCCGATACAAGAATGACGATCAATCCAATACCTATCCCCGTACCCAATCCAAACACAGAGTTGATTATAGCAAGACCTGACATCGTATGTAGAACTGGAAATGTGTAGGTAAGTACGCAGAAACCCGATAAAAAGTTTGTGAATAAAAATAAACCCTTTCTGTTGAAGCTGCGGAGATTACCCAGAATCCCACCGACAACACAACCGACCACCATTGTACCTTGCTGTATGGATAAGAGCGAAGCTGCTTGTCTTAAGTCAACACCAACTTTAGTGTAGTAGTCTGGCCCAAGAAGCAATTGTACAGAGCTTCCTATATTCCATATAAAATTATTTATCGTTAATAGAACAAATGGTAAATTAGTTAATAGTTTCATCGTTCTTGACTTTTTTACTGTATGTTTAATTTGTTCGACGATTCTTGTTTGGTCCGCAGCTGTTTGCCTTGTAGCAAAATTTTCAAATATTGTTCCATTGTTTTTTAATTTCTTACCATCATCATCATGGATTGTATAGATTGTCTGTGTACTGTTGGTGAGGTTATTGTTGATATACTTAGTTCTTGATTTTACCCACGCCTTTTGCATGGGTGATTCTCTCATTAGACAAGAGAAAACGACCGTTTGTAAATTCAACGATGCAAGTATAAAAAAGGAACCTCTCCATCCAAACTTCCCAATCAAAAATTCAATCAGATATGGAAACACAATGCCACCAAGTGAGGAACCGGAACTGACGATACCTGTAACTAGACCTCGATTGTTTTCAAACCAGAGTCCAGAAAGAGTATAAGACGGAATGTAGAGAAAAGAATAGCCAGTACCTAGACGTAAAGACATAGAATTTACATATCCAATAAAAATCCAATAAACAAGTATATAAATAAATTTATTTTAATAAATACTTTAGTATCTTAAGAAATTTGAAATACTTGAGAAATTAGAACCTGTAATTACCCGTTAATGCTCCGAAGAACACAATTAAATAGGGAATATTTGGAGTAAATGGTAAAACAGATAGACCAACACTGCTCATTATGGCTCCCAGTAAACAAACCTTTCTGTAAGATATCTTCCGCATTAGGAAACTGACAAATGGTCCTGGAATATAATAATGTAATGGAAAATTATAGAGATTGGCAAGCCAAGATTATATTAAAATGACAACTCAAAGAACAGAATTTTTTGTTCCATTGTGTTTTGAATTTATTCTACCAATATTTAAGACAGACCAAACCTCCGAAATGATATACATCACAGGCTTAGAATGGTCTCGGTCTTTAAATTAATTTATTAAACGCACCATACAGAATTAGGGGCAAAATTACATTCAAAACTCTCCAAACTCAAACTCTAAAAAATAATGACTCACCACTAATTCTTTTATTAATACTAGTACATGAAGTAGACAACAACATAAAGGATAATATATCACATTTAAAAATATTTTGATATTCGAAAAAGAAATTATGCACATCATTGCTAAATGAGAATTTATGATACTAGTATTGTTCAGAAAATTTAGTGATCAATTAAAATTATTTCAAAAAGCATAAATACAATCAATTTAAAAAATCTTTTGTCTTTTAACTCTACGAAGACATATCCTTCACTGTAAATAACCTCATGAAATCGTTATTTGTACTTATTGTAACATGTATATTCTGAAAGAAACATGCGATACCTAGTGAATTTTATTTATACTGTGAAATGAAATCCAAAATGGACTTCGGAGGAGGTAGGCAACTGGAGACGAACAAGAACTAATTTAAATTCTTGCCATTTTGATTTTTGGACAAATTCTCTGTATGACTTGCTATGTGTTTGTATGTAAGATGACACAGTGTGTAGGATTTGATTTAGAGAGATTGTGATATCCTTATGGTCGTAGAGGTTTTGAAAAGAAATAACCACGATAAAAAACATACCTGTGCAAAGTTACGATATAAAGCATACCTGTACAAAGTTACGATATAAAGCATTCCTGTACAAAGTTACGATGTAAATATACCTGTACAAAGTAGAAAGCCAAAGTGGATGGATCCAATAGATGAAATTATGGATAGCCGTGTTTCAAACTCGTTTTGTAGTTCTATGACATAGATACCGAAGGAGAAGCAGATTCCAAATATTATAAACTGAATGAGAAACGCTGCAACAGCTATAACTATTCCCCATGTATTCTTCATTTCTTTTCAATTTTTCCTACTACAGAAAAGAAATAAAAAGATTTTAAAATAAGTTGAACTTAGAATTGAGGTAAATAATCAAACGATTCTTGGTTACTTACCAGAAGCCGTATTCTAAGTTTATTATGAACCAAAAACACACATGATAAAATTCAAGTTTGAATTTTTAATTGTATTCTTATAAAACATATCTATCTGGCGAAAGGCTGTCATATTTCCTATCATTAAAGATCCTTCTTCAGATGCCAGACTGTCTATGAACTACTGAGCAATTAAATTACTATCGTGTGTTAATAAACTGTATATCGTTTTCATAAACGAACGATTAGTAAGCTTTCCTGAAAATCATAAAGTTTTTGCGGACGAGCAGAATTGTTTTCGGATACATAGATCATGTGAAGATCATAATCTCACTCTCAGCAGTGTAATCAGGAATAGTCAACACATCTGTTTCATATTTGGATATTTTATTAGAAAAAGACGTTAATGATAACCTAACAACCAAGATTTATGATAAACGTTATGAGTTCAATCGTCAACTTCCCTTACTTATGTAGCAATGTACCCTTATCACCTGCAAATGGGGTTTATATCTGTCAGTTGATTCGATAATTTCTAAAATGAGGCAAGCTATTGACAAACAGTTAATGAAAGAAGAGTATCAACAGTCCCTTTTAAAGTCACTATTTCGTAAGTTCTATGGTCAATACAATGACCTTGTCAGCAAATACAACCTATCATTAATTCTAATTCTGACTGACCTTTTTTTAGTACTAATTGTTAGGCCCTTATTTACACACTAAATTGTCTTCGAATTTTTTTTTTCGTTTTTTCCCCATCATGACAAGGAACACACGGAGGGTGTGACCGGTCGGCAGGGGATGCGCACTCCTCCATGGCACCTGATCCCACCTCTGATGTTTTAGAGGTCCGTGTTTGCTTGGCTCCTGATTTGTATTGTTTGAATATACATTTGAGCTTAAATACAGTTCGCTATCTTCATATTTCATTGTAGCGTTTATCGATTTAGGGTAGTGTTTTGATTTTGTAGACAGAAACATGATGTTATACAAACTCTTGTTACACCTCGTGGATGTAGTAATATATAATTCAATCAGGAGTATAAACCAGCCCTCGGAAGTCTGGGTCCGTTTGAATGGGCAACGTACACCATGATTCTACTGCAAAACAGGTGTAAGGCAGGGAGATAATCTATCACCTACACTTTTTTTCATATTTATAAACGACCTCCTGAAGGAAATCAATGATCCCAACCTTGGAATAGATTTGCCCGGTAGGAAATTGTCTACTTTATGAGTATGATATTGCCCTAATTGCCAAATGTCCAGAAGATATCCAGTGTATGTTAAAAAACTTCATCAGTGGTGCAGGAGATGGAAGGTATTGATCAACACTGATAAATCAAAGTACATTCATTTCAGGAAAGTGAGATCGAAACAGACAACATTTGAATTTGCCAATGGTAAAAACAGATTGGAGGTAGTAGTCCAATACAAATATCTAGGTGTAACGTTCACTTACAGCGGAAACTTCACTGAAATGCTGAAATTCTCTCAAAATCTGGAGGAAGAGCGCTTGGAAAGAAAATCTCCAAAATAACAAAAAAAGTTTGAAATTAAATCTTATGAAAAGTTGTACTACTTCTGTGTAGTTCCCATTCTGGATTATGGATCGGGAGTATGGGGATACAGAAAATACCAGGCCATAGAAATATCTAAAACCGTGCAATTCGATATTTCCTGGGAGTTTATCGCTTTGCACCTAGACTTGCTCTGTTCGACGCTGGGCGAATATGGTTCGATATTGGAACAGAATTGGCCGTATCACCAAATTAGCATTTGATATGGACTACATCTGGACTACAACTTGTATAGCGAAATTAAGGATGTATTCCAACGACTCCAATTTGAACATATCTTTGACTTACGGGAAGTGGTAGATCTGAAAATTGTTGTGCGTATTACAATTATATTCATCGTTATGAAAAGATGCCATTCAAAGTATCCCAAAACTACGGACATACGTAACTTTCAAATCTGACTTTAAACAGGAGAAATATGTGAAACTGATTCTAAGCTAAATGGAATGTTTCCATCTTACTCAGTTAAGGTGTGGAATCTTACCCTTGCGAATAGAACAGGACGCTACAATAATGATTGGTGAGTGACCAGAAAAGAGGTTATGGTTCTGCGATGTCGGAGTAGCTGAAACGAAAACCCATTTCGTGTTAGACTGTCCATTTTACACAGACATTCAGTTAAGCTCCTTTGGCAATTTCATTGAATCAGATGAATTTCTATCTATGGACAGTAGTGAAAAAATGAAAACTATAGCAATTAATTACACAAGAAAGCTTGAAAAGTTTGTTGTAAAGGCCTATATAAAAAACGTGATGTATATAAATGAATGACTTCTTAAAATAACTGTTATTACGATGGACATGCATTTTAATATATCATTCTTAAGAACCTAAGTAAATTAGTCAAAGATTTACACAAAATACATACATAATTAGTCCACGAAGGAAAAGGTGTGATTTAAATCCAGGTGACTTATACATGTAAGTCCAAAGGGCCGGGTGTAAAGTACTTGTCTTTCTATATCTAAGATGTTATCTCATAATGTCTTACATAAGTCACATAAATAAATAAATAAATAATATCTTTAAGTCGTAAAAATTGCAGCACGTCAAAATGTAGATGTACTCGCAATTTAAAGAATTTATAGTCAATACTTAAGACTATTCAATTGGCTAAATAATGACCCAATAACAAATATTAGAATATTATGGAATGCATAAATGTAACCAAGATGTATGAGCAATAAGAATGATATACGGTTCGAAAATGGAAAATGTTGCTGTTGCTTAGCAACCAAATAAATGTCATTAATTAAATTGTGTAAAAATTATCTCCGGATCATAGCATTTTTTCTTTACTCTTCTACATCGCTTATTTTCATTTTCGTCCTTTGTCCTCCTTATAGTCGATATTAAGGATATTAAAGCTATCCGATCCTCAGCTAGGAACACAGAATCTGAAATTTATCATTCAATTAAATAATCTCAAAATAAAGCTTGAAATTGAAGTATTTTTTGTAACAATTTTCATTTTTATATACATCTCAATATGATTCAAGGTTCTTTGAAGTCTTAGAAATGGTATTGTAAAAAGTTGACATGTTACCAATGTTTAATAGCATGATATGAAATTAGAAGAAAATATGTTATGTCTTGCAATGATAGCATAAACTTTTTACACTATGTAACAATAGATTAAATAGAACTAAAATACTGTATATGTGTGCAAAACATGGAAATGCCTGGATACCTTTAGTTCTGAATCCAAAAATGTATTTGTTGATCAATTTTCAATAAGAAAATGGAAAGCTGGTGCTTTTATTCGCATTTACTGAAAATATATTTGAGTTTTGGTAATTTTCCTTATATAATATGATAAACTTTAATGATGAACTTTGAAGAAATGGATAAATACACGTTACTGTATGAAATCCGAGACATTGTTGTGAGCATTTTCAATTGCTGTAAAGCTGATTTTCATAACCTGAAGATCGAACTGCCTTTATTGGAAATCTTTATTTATATATACGGTCCATGTATAAAGAGTCGATTTTTTTTGGTTGACGCATAGTAATATTAGATATATGATATGGTGCGCACATACTAAAGGGATATTAAATAAACATTTCCAGCAATATTAGATAAAAAAAAATATATGACGGGTATGTACTAAAGAGATAATAAAAGAATAATAGTTATAACTCCAAAGAACGCGATCAGGTATGGTAAATTTGGAGTAAATGTAAAACAGATAGACCAGCACTGCTCATTATGGCACCCAGCAAACAACCCCTTCTGCAGGACATCTTCCGCATTAGAAAACTGGCAAATGGACCTTAAATAGGTAATATATATATGTATGAGTAAGTATATAAATATGTACATTATTCACAAACTGAGTGTAGGGATACAGGCTTTGTTACAAAGCAAAATGACGTCAAATGTAATAAACTTAGATTATTACTGAAAATATGTTTATCATTGCTTTATGGCAACTACCAAGGATTAGGACATTTTGTTTAAATAAACTTTGCCTCGGGATCAATGTAAAATGACAGGATTTTTTTTACGAATATTTTGGAAAAGGTAGTTTTAACGTTTCCGAGGGTAAGTCTGAGGAACAACAATTTTCTAATGCATGACAATACCCGAAAAGAGAAAACAGAAGTCGAGAATAAAGTTATAATAAATTTTAATAAAGAAAAACCATATCATTTTCAAGTTACAAAGTCTTCCCTGCCCTGGGTATATTGGGATTGGTAAGTGGGTAGTGAAAACCAAAAAAAAAGGGGGGGGTAAAACTTATTAAAATCAAGTATGATAATTTTATAAGAGGTTTTAGAAGGCTAAGGCCATCCTCGCAAGCCAGCTGTCCTGAGTCAACACGTTGCCGTTGGACCCCTGGCATATTTCATTCAATATTCGTGGGCTTGCTTCTCTCATTGAGAAGCACCAATCAAATTAAAGCTTTCATTAATAGCTAGATAAGGATTCAGTTGACACCTCAAATGCACGTGTTACAAGTTGTTTATCATAGAATGGCTTAATGTGATTGGTTGAGAGATAAGAAAAACAATCAAGATTTGTAAATTTTCCGAAAGACGTCGCTACAGTCAGCCCACAAATATTGAATGAAAAATGCCAGGGGTCCAACGGCAACGTGTTGACTCAGGACATCTGGCTTGCGAGGATGGGCTAAGACTGGCATCCGAATATTTTCCTCCAACTTACTATTAAGCTATGTAAGTGGTGCTCTCTCTAGTCCTTATCCGCCGCAACTGCGCCAATGCACCTGTATATATAGGAATTTAACCGGAAATACACAGTAACCAATGTAATCTCATGACGTAGAACACACATGACGTCAGTATTGGTAACTTCTCCAAACCGGAAACACTGC